AACATCCCACCCTCCCACCCGCAACTTGGTCGCAAGACATCTTAAGACGAGACCGTGACGGTAGGTACCACACGGCACTTGGCCACGACACCTTGCTGACGACGACAGCGACGGCGCCGCCGACACCGACTACGACGACACCGACGATGTCTCCAACGACTTCGACGACGACAACGACGACGACGACACCGACGACGACGACGCCGACGACGACGACGAAGACGACGACGACGCCGACGCCGACGCCGACGACGCCGACGACGACGACGAAGACTACGACGACGACGACAACAACGTCGCCAACGAAGACGACGACGAGGGAGGAGGGAGGACGACGACGGCGACAATGACGACAACGACGACAACGACGAGGGAGGAGGGAGGACGGCGACGACGCGAACGACGAAGAAGGAGGAAGGACGGCGACGCCGACGACGACAACGACGAGGGAGGAGGGAAGACGACGACGACGACAACGACGACGACGACGACGACGGCGACGAAATAGGAGGGACGACGACGAGACGCCGACGACGGACGACGACGACGACGAGGGAGGAGGAAGGACGACCACGGCGACAACGACGACGGAAACGACCACGACGCCAAAGAGGACGACGACGACGACGACGCGGGAGGAGGGAGGACGGCGACGACGACGACGACGACGACGACGTAAGCGCGCACGCACGCTTTTGTTGAACATCCGTGTTGCGAAACCTTGTGTGTTGTAGGTTTTTTGGACGCGCGATTTTGAAATCCTTCCGAAACCGATGGGTTTTGAAGATTTTAGCCATACGCGCGCGACGACGCGCGCGTCTGCACTTCGTCCCTTTTTTTGCAGAGGATTCTCGCGACGGCACACGCGCAAGGGCGTTCGACAGATTTCGACATGCGCGCGCGCGAAGCCCGTTTAATAGCATTTTGTAAAAACCTATGGTTTTCTTAAGATTTCGCAAGAGCTCGCGCGGAAGCCTTTTTAGAAAATCAGTGTTGCGAAACCTTGTGTATTTGTATGTTTTTTGGGAAACTCGATTGCGAAATCCTTCCGGCACCGAAGGTTTTTGAAGGATTTCGGCATGCGCGCGCGACGACGCGCGCGTGTGCACTTCGTCCCACTTTTGGAAGGGATTCGCGAAAAAGTGCTATGTTAGAACCAAAAATGTCACCGCATAGTGTTTTTTACAAGGGAACCTCAGGGGGTGAACCCGGCCCCCCTGGGATAGTGTTAATTCATATTTAGGATGGACATGTGGTCAGAATCACATATGACTTACATACCCGACAGGGGGACCGATAACGCCGGGGGAGGGAGGAGGGGGGGGGTAGAGTCTATCTTCTTTCTAGAAAGGAGAATCCATGTGGTGCACTCGACGCCCACGAGGTGCCTACAGGCGGGCACCGAGAGAAACCCCGGCATACCCGACGAAGAGCCCACGGGCGGGCACCCCGCACCACCCCCGCATACCCCCCCAGCGCGGGGCGCGTCCACCGGCGGGCACCCGGCGAATCCTCGGCATCCCCCCGCGGTGCGGTGCCGCCGACCCTGAATGACGACGACGACGACGACGACAACGACGACGACGACGACGAGCGCTCTCGGGGGCCTCTCGGGGGTAGTTTTGAGGCCTCGTGGGAAGCTCTTGGGAGCCGCTTTGGAGCCTCGTGGGAGCGTTTTTGTTGCTATTTTGGTGTCTATTGTTGGTGGGTATTTCAAGTTGTCGCCCCAAATCCCCCTTTAGCGGGGGCAGGCCCGACCGAAGCATGGGGGAACGGGGAGGGACCCACGGCTTCGCCCAAAAATCGCCTTGTAGGGCGACCTGCCCGACCTGAGCTCTAGGCCTCCTAGACGGGGGCCGTGTAGATGGGGTCGGAGGATCGCGCCGCATCGCCGATGCGGCTCGATGTGGAGCCCGCTTTGCTTTACCTCGACGTCGCCGATGCATCGCCGGCGTCGACGATGCATCGGCGGTGCATCGCCAGTGCATCGCCGATGCATCGCCGATGTATCGGCGATGCGGCGCGATCCTCCCACCCCACCTGCTCGCCCCCCGTCCAGGAGGCCTATGTGAGCCTGGGGGCACGGGGAGGGGCCCTCTTCAAATCCATGTCAAGTGCGGACTTGAAGAAACCGACCGAGGGCGCCCCGTTGGGACATATCAGCTGGATGAGACAGGTGATGGACCGAGGCATTGTTTCACCACCCACCAAACCACCCCAACCCAACCCGAAGGCCTCAATTTGCCCTCCATTTCCAGTTGGGGGGGGGTCTGGGAACGTCGAGAAAACACGTGTGGAACCCTTACCCCCCCCCAGCCCGAAATTCGGGCCTTCGGGTTGGGTTGGGGTGGTCTGGTAGGTAGTCAGTTGATGGCGTGCAATGGCGACCGCGGGCGGCCATGCAAAAGGACGCATCGATCGCGCGTTACGCCCGCTGGGCGGCACCTCGGCCGGCCCGCCCCGCGGCCTCGCACCGGGCGGAGCCTCGGCAGGCCCCTGCCAGCGCGCGGGGCGCCCACGAGGCGCCCACGTTGGCGCCCACCGTGGCGAGGCCCTGGCGGACCAAGCCCGCTGCATGAGAGCAAGATTAGGTCGGGCATGTCCCCCTACAGGGGGAGTTTGGCCGGAAGCCTGAACTGCCTGGAAAATACACCAAAATAGCAAACAAATGCTCGAGAAATCGTCCCCAGGCGATATTTGCAAGTGTTCTTGAAGATTCCTCCTGTAGAGGGACAGGCCCGACTGAACAGCAAGAGGTACAGGCCCCAGAAGTGCAAGAACTGTTTGGGGAGTGCTGCACGCAGGGTGGCGAGCATCTGGGGCGCAGGTGCGAGAAACGTGCGGGAGAAGTCGGCGTCTCTGCGCTGTCGCGTTTGTACTTCAGTCTTCGCGGAGCTCCTGTACGCTACACGCACGCTTGTTCAAATCGGTATTCTCACACACGTACACATGCTTTTCAAATGTGGTGGTGAAGCCACCTCTGGTTCAACGAAGACGGGCCACGTTCTAAGGTAATCGACCATCTAGTGTGGCAGCGCGTGCGAAGCTGGAAAACATTAAGGCAGTCCGTCCCAAGCCGAACCTCCGAGCATTCACAAACATACGCATAATCGAACCCGCACGCATGCGCAGACAGGGGCAAAGGCATTGACACAAGTGCACGCGCACGCATGCGTTCGCGCACGCGCGCGCAGCTTTTCGCAGCGGCATCGTGAACGATATCGTAGCTTCTGGCCCGCGCGCGCACCCACAGCTGAGCCGACGCAGATATGCATGCTGCTCGTGGTGTTTTGAGCCATGGATTTTCAGACGCTGTCGGGCACGATGGGCGCGCACGCGCGGAGCGCCAGGAGCCCTTGAACCACAGGGCTTGCTGAGGGGCGCGGGAGCAGCGCAGGTTCTGGCACTATTTGTAGCTCGAAGTTTATGTTCGCCTGGCTTCCCTGGCAGGAGAGACGGCGTAGCGCATGCAGCGCTGCGATGCGATGAGGTGGAGGGTCGTGTTCGTCTCGCAGTTTCCAGCCCTGCTGCTGGAGGCGCAGACGCTGACGTGCCGCCTGCTTCGTGTGGTGGCGCACCGCAACCTCGCGGCCCACGAGTTCGGAGTGCCCGCGGCGAGAATCGCGTCGGCGAGCCAAGCTGAACTCAACCGTCCTTGACGTGGTTCCGGAGGCCGTTGTGGTTGTGGGAGGCGCCGTGCTGATGAGGTCGACGCTGTGGAGGTGGTTGGCGAGGCTGCATATCTGAACCCTGATGCGGTGGACGTCGTTCGAAGAAGATGCAACTGCATAATCATATACTTTTGGAGCTCCGCACAGATTTCTTGGATCTGCGCTGGACCCCCATCCCTGGCGCGCGGAGCGCGCCAGGGGCTCCGCGCGGACCTCCAAAGTTAATGTTTATGCAGTTGTTCGTTCACATATAGTGGACAGTGTGCTGCAGACGGATCAGGATTGCTGCCCTGAGTTCGGAGCCCTGGGCGACAGAGAAGCCTTTGGATGCCGCCGTGGAGGCGGCACGAGCTAGCTTTGCACGGTGCGGGGCCGCATTGAATTTTCCTGATGTGCAGAGACGCGATTCTGCAGCTGGGGCAGCCGTGTAGTTGACAGAAGATTCTCAGGAGCACTATGTTGTCAACGCTCACTTGTGCAATAGTGGGGCGCCAGAGCGACGACGTGTCGGAGTCTGTCACGGCTGCTGGCGCTCACGGTGGACGCGTGTTGCGTGTTTATGTGCATGTCATCGTGCCGAGTTGCGCGGCGAATAGAAGCCCACGAGCAAGCGGGATTTTGATAGGCTCGATAGCGATAACATCGGGACCGGTGGATCCCGCGCAGTTGATGAGCAGCAGGGCGTAGCGACGGCTGACAGTGCCGAGGTGGCCGTGGCGCCGAAGATATGAAACTACCAGTGGCTGGCTGTTTTTCAATCCCAGGACTTTTGAGGGGTGGGGGCGACGTCGGGGTGGTGTGGTGTATACTTGGTTCCCCGTTTTTCGGGGGAAACAAAGAACAGGTATACATTAGGACCCCGTACACACCAGGATCCGCTTTCCTGTGCGAGTTCCAGCGCGGGGTCGGAAAAAGCGTCGGTGCATAGAGTTCGGCTCTCTGGAAGAATTACCGTGGTGCTCTGCGGGATGTGCTGGAGCTCGCGCTCTCTGAGAAGGCTCTCGGCCGCAAGGCGGTGCTGCTCCTTGGGCACGTGCTGTTGCTGCGCTATCGCCGAGGTCCTCATCCCGTCGGGGGTCCAGCGCTGATCAGGCCCAGCGCTGACCCCCCGCTGACTTGGGCGCTACGTGCGTGGACCTTTCGTTGGTTCTCGCGGATTCCCCCTCTTCCAATCCATTGCCTTTCCTACTCCCCTTCCCGTCTCCCCCGTCCTTTTCTCTTCCCCTCCTTTTCCTCGCTCCCGTCCCCAGCTTATCCCGCCGCCTAGTCCCCCCACATTTCTCCCTCCTCCCTCCTCACTTTCCAGCGTCCGCTCAGCCCCCGGGACAGATGATCGAAGCGATCTCTCGGGGCATGAAGTTTGACGGTGTCAGCAAGAAAGTGGACCCGGACGAAGATCGGGCGACCCCTGGGGTGGCTTTTGGGGGGAGAAGGACGGGCAGGGAAGGAAGCAGGGGAGGCGAGACGGATGGGGACGGGGAGGAGGGGGAGGATGAGGAGGGGGAGGAGGATGAGGGGGGAGGGGGAGGCGGAAGAAGAGGGGAGGGGGGATGAGGAGGGTGGAGGAAGGAAGATAGACGGGAATAGGGATGAGGGTGAGGAAGCCGACGGGCACCGTGGATTGAGGCTGGCACTGTGGGCTTGAGCCCCCTGCAGTGGCCTGAGGAAGCTTCCAGGGACCTCCGAGGACTTCTCAGAGGCAGGACTAGCGATACCACCACCGCCACCAGGGGTACCACCTCCAGCCATGAGGTCCACGATGCCCCCCCCCGAGCTGGGGATAGCGGATGCCTCGAGCGGGGAGGGGGCACCGCACCGCCAGGAGGACCCCCCTCTGGCTCCTCGCGCCGGTGGTGGAGGTGCCGCTTTCCTTTGGTCCACGAGTTTGGGGACCCCTAGAGATTTGCGGCAACCTCGATTCGGGATCGAGCCTCGCCCGAAATGTGCGGCTGCACGTTTCGTCCCCTGGAGGGGCTTCCATCCCAAAGCGCCGCCCGTGATTGGACATCGGACGAGCATCTTCGATGCGACTGGAGGAGGAGGAGGAGAACCGACACAGGACATGCGGCCGAGCTTCGCCGGCCTCGTGTAGCCACCTGGTGGCTTATGCCTCCGCCGAAGTGGCTGCAGGATTTACCAGCACCTTCCCATTGCCTTTGGCATTGTTAGGGTGCTGGTGTCTGGTGGTTAGATTCCGAATCGATTCCGCATGGGCACTCTCAAACATAGTTCGAAAATGTGTGATCAACCCTTTGGCCAGCTGATCCTGAGAGAGCTGCCCGCACTGGAGTAGAACAAAGAGCCCTTCAGTGCCACCCACCAACGTATCCGGCTACGTATAGCTCGTGACCTCACGGTTCTTCGAGGAGGCTGGTCATCATTGGATTACACCGTGGGCACTTCAGTCCCACAGGTGGGGCATGCCGATTAGTTTTCCTGGCCAAGCAACGCTCGCACAGCCAGTGAGACTCGGGCAAACATCTCCAGCGGTGCCCATCCTCAGGTGGATTGGGCCAGAGGGAGGGAGAGGACGCGGGGAGGAAGATACCAGGAGGAGAAGGAGGAGGAGGAGGAGGCGCAGGACTCCCCCTGGAGGGCACAGGATATGGCAGTCGTACCCACGGCCTAGCTTAGAGACGCAGCCGATGAAGTCGAGGAAGGTGCTCCCGCTGCATTGAACTGCTCTCCAAACACTTTGCATTAACCTGTGGAAGACCAAAGCGAGCGTTCCGCATGGTAGCGTCTGACAGCGTTAGGGGGGTGGACCAAAGGGGCCCTGGCTGAGATAGTACGATGTCATACTTTCGATGAGGGTTACGCGAAAATGAAAGCAAATGCGCGGACTGGCCTCGGCACGGGTGTATTTTTCATATTACTATACCCAGGCGAGACATCAGTGCTGATGCAATTTAGTTGTGCGATATATGCGGCGACTTGGTGGTGGGGCCCTATCACATGGGACTCGATCGTGTGGGTCCCTGTCGTGCAGGGCCCTATCATGTGAGACCCTATAGTGTGACCCAAACTTGCGGGATCCAACGCGTGGGACTGTGTCGCGAGGGGCCCTTCCGTGCTGAAACGTATCGTGTGGTACCCCAGCCACCGGTTTTTGCGAGGGTCGAAGAGGGAACGGGACGAGAACCGCAAACCACATACGAGTATCCCACCACACACGCGTGGAACCATTGATTAGGGAGAACCCTGGATGTACGTTCTTCTTATTATTATTCTTCTTCTTCTTCTTATCATTGGTATTCTTCTTAGTTGTATTTGATTGAGTGTTTCTTATGTTTCGTCTTATTGTTATTCTTTTGGTTAACAGTACGATTATTAGTATCATCATTATTATTGTTGTTATTATTATTATTATCATCATTATTATTATGAGTATTATTATAATTACTATTATTATTATCAGTATTATTATTATGATTATTCATATGATGTTTGATATAATTCATCGTCTTCGTCTTCGTCTTCTTCTTCTCCTCCTCCTCCTCGTCCTCCCCCTCCTCCGCCTCCGCCTCCTCCTCCTCCGCCTCCTCCGCCGCCTCCTCCTCCACCTCCTCCTCTTCTCATCGTTAAAACCATACAATTGCATTTCCGCGAACGAACTCACACAACACTCATGACGCTCATCACATGCAGCACCACGGCGCACAGCACACTCAAAAACAGAGCTGGAGGCGGAAGATTTTCCCGATGCACAACGTGTTGTACATGAAAGGTGGCCCGTACACATTTGCGCATGTGCCATGCCATAAAACAGCCCCCTCCGGAGAGCCTCAGGGAAATAGGTGAGCATGCCGCCCGAATTGCCACATGCCACCACCCACCAACAGCTCCTGCCAGTCCCCCCCACCACAAACACCACTACTACCTGCCAGAAGTGCTGCTACCACCAGCGCTACCAATGCGCACCAACTCCGCTACCACCAACAGCTCCGCTACCGTCACCGCCAGGTCCCGACGACCGGCGCCCTGTCCACCCTGCCGCCGCCGGCACCGCGCCGTTTCTCGTGGCCCAAAGGTCGACGCCACCGACTGCCCCCGCCTCCCCTCCCCCTTCTTCCGAGGCGGGGACTTATCCATAACCACCGCCTGGAGGATCGATACCCGTGGACCTCGGTAGGCGGCGGGAGTTCCCCGCAGTGCCGTCGGGGTCACGTGGTCGGCAGGCAGCGAGGGAGGGGGTGAGCAAGGCAGGACTGGGAATGGGGGAGTCGGAGGAGGGCCACTTGAGACGCGGGAGATCCCTGTAGTGCAGGCGAGGTCGCTCGGCCGGCGGCCAGCCAGGGAGGGTCGAGGGAGCAAGGGGAGAGTCAGGGGAGAGCCAGTTGAGACAACGGCCGCTCTCCACCAGGCCCAACTCCGCTCAAAGTCGGTCCCCGGGCCCCTCCCGGGGTCCATCCTGACCCGTTTCGCGAGGCGGATCCAACCATGGCGACGAGAATCCTCCAGGAGGCCCACAAAGAAATAGACAACCCCAGGTATCGACGCCGTTGCCTCGGCTGGCCTTCTTTCGAGGGAGGCACCAACAAGGGTACGTCAGTCTTGTGCCAGTGATCGTTGCTTCCAGGCATCCTGAATCGGGTCGAAGCAGATGCGTCCAGAGGATCGCGCCGCATTGCCTATGCCTCGGCGATGTGGTTCAATTTACAGCTCGATCTTCTGGACGCCGACGGCGCCGATGCGTCGCCGACGCCGCCGGTGCATTGCCGATTCATCAGCGATGCATCGGCGATCCTCCGACCCCATCTGCTCGGACCCCACTGGAGAGGCCCCCGCTGCTCCCACCTCGGGGCTCCGTGCAGGCGCAGAGGCAGAAGGAGATCGAAGCCAGGAGGCTGTCCCTCAAGGCGTCGGGCCGCCTCTCTCGAGCACGGCCTTGCCGGCGCTGCAGCTTCGGCGCCGCGCGAGGCCGCACCCACGACGATGCAGTCGAGACGCTAAGGCAAGAATTACTTTGCGCTCAGGAGGGCCCACCTTTTCGCGCTGCGAGCAAAAACGACACGACAGAAGGTTTGCTGGTGAGCTTCAGCCACCGGGGGCACTCGTTGGGTTCTCGGACCGTAAAGCCAACCTGGCGAAGGACCCAACCATGTGCAGTTGTGAGTCCCGTCGTTGCGGGTATCACCTTCGGTTCGGGGATCTCCTCATGGGGCCACGAAGCATGCGAAGGGTGTGCCAATATTGGGCGGGGCCGTCATGTGGACGTTGCCACTGGGCCTTTTAGGCGGAACCCACTACGGGGCCACGAAACGTGTGGAGGGGTGCGCCGCACTGGGGCGGGGCCGCCACCGGGGCCTACGGTGGAGCTCCCTACCGGTCAACGAAACGCTGTATTGTGGGGGGGACGCATGCGAAAACCGCTTCTGGGGCCTTCGGTGGAGCTTCCTACGGGCTGTACTGGGTGGGGGAGGCGCATGCGAATGCCGCCACTGGGGCTTTCGGTGGAGCCCCCTAATTGGCCGCGAAACGCTGTACTGTGTCGGGGGAACGCATGCGAGCACCGCCACTGGGGCCTTCGGTGGAGTCCCCTGTGGGGCCACACAGCGCTGTACTTGGCGGGGGAAAGGCATGCGAACACCGCCACTGGGGCCTTCGGTGGAGCTCCCCATGGGTCCACGAAACGCTGTACTGGGCGTGGGAAACGCAAGCGAACACCGCCACTGGGGCCTTCGGTGGAGCTTCTTCTGGGGCCACGAAGCGCTGTACTGGGTGGGAGAGACGCACGTTAACACCGTCGCTGGGGCCTTCGGCGGAGCTGGAGCTCCCCATGGGTCCACGAAGCGTTGTCCTGGTTGGGGGACACGCATGCGAACACTGTCACTGGGGCTTTCGGTGGAGCTCCCTACGGGGCCACGAAACGCTGTACTGGGTGGGGGGAACCGCATGTAAACACGGCCACGGGTGCCTTTTGTGGAGCTTCTTCTGGGGCCACGAAGCGCTGTACTGGGTGTCGGAAACGCATGCAAACACCGCCACTGGGGCCTTCGTTGGAGCTCCTTCTGGGGAAACGAAGTGTGAGAGGGGTGTGCCGAAGTGGAGGGGGTGCGGCATGCGAATCATGCCATTGGGGCCTTCGGTGGAGTCCCTATGGGGCCACGAAACGTGCGAGGGGTGTGCCAAACGGAAGGTGGGCGGCATGCGAACCATGCCACTGGGACCTTCAGTGGTGAGGGGTGTGCCAAAGTGGAGGGGGGCGGCATGCGAACCATGCCACTGGGGCCTTCCGTGGAGCGGCCTATGCGGCCACGAAATGTGTGAGACGTGTGCCAAAATGGAGGAGGGCGGCATGCGAACCATGTCACTGGGGCCTTCCGTGGAGCGGCCTTTGCGGCCACGCGACGTGTGAGGAGTGTGCCAAAGTGGAGGGGGGCGGCATGGAAACCATGCTTCTGAGGCCTTCCGTGGAGCTTACGATGGCTCCACGGGACGTGTAAAGTGGAGGGGGCGGCATGCGAACCATGCAGCTGGGGCCTTCGGTGGAGTTCTCTATGGGGACACGAAACGTGTGAGGGGTGTGCCAATGTGAGGGCAGAGGCAAGGACAAGGGTGGGAGGAGGGAGGAGCGGGAGAAGGAGGAGGAAGAGGAGACGCGGGGGCTGTCTCTTCAAAAGCGAGGACCCAACACCACAGGACGGTTGGGAACAACGACCAGGGATGAAAATGCGGTGCTGAGGAGGGGTTCAGGCATGCGGTACTGAGGAGGGGTTCAGACCTCTGGAAGGCGACGTTGCGAAAAATACTACGTCGGAGGCTTAGGCCGTTCCTCTGCTCTGGGTCGGGGAGAACCTGTTCGTGGGCGAGGGTCGCCGTGGCCAGAAACGCCCCTTCGTTCCTTGCTCAGCGTCCCCTCACATCATCGTCGGGTCGGACGAAAGGACGAAAAGGAGGGGGGGGGGGAAAAGGGACAGTGGAGTGTACGAAATCTGCTGCGTGCAGGTGGTTTCAGCCCCGCCGCGAGGCGCTTTCCTCGGTCCGTGGGCGAAAATTTGCTGCATAAGCTGATTCGCTGACCCTCCCTTTGCTGCCCCCCCTCGTCCAACCCGAGATGGATTCAGCTCCATCTGCCTCGCGGCAAGGCGCATCAGTTTCGCAGACGGTTGCGCGTGTAGTGTCCGTAGGGTCCTCGTGGTGCCCCTCTGTCCCCTTTCTGCTCCCTCCGCTCTCCTGTTCCCGCCTTTGTCAGAAGCACCCCTTCCCAGGGCGAGGGGGCAGGGTAAGGGTATATCGGGTAGCAGATGGTGCTCATTAGGTCACCCGCGGGGGCGCGACGATAATCGCGCTTCGCGCATCCCGGTCTGGGCAAGAGCGGGTTGCCCTTCTCCCAGAGGGCGACGCGAGGGCGCGAAGACAATCGTGCGTCGCGCATCGCGGGGCGCGATGCGCGAAATTAGGCAACTTAGAAGGAGGGGGGGGTCAGGGAGGGGGTGGGAGGGAGAGGGATGGGGAAATTACGGCTCGCCGACAGCTGAGCGCTCTCCAACTCCCCTTCTGCTACACGCCCCCTGCAGCCCAGGCCAGTGTCTCAGAGTAAGAGACCGTGCCTGCCATTTCTTTCCCTTGCTTGGTGGCCCCTCGGGTTTCGTGGCCTCGGTTTTTCTCACTCGGTCGTGTCGCTGCCCCTCCGCCGTGGTGTCTTCCCCCCCCAAAAAAAAACAGCCCAGGCTCGCCCTCCGTGACCTCCTGCTCTTCCTCCTCGCCTTCCCCCTCAGCCCTTTCTTTCCCCTGCTGATTGCCCCATCAGAGAACCCATTGCCGTATGTGGGATTCTCGATACGGAGCACCAAGCTCCCCCCCCCGCCCCCACAGGTCAAAGATTGCAGCCAGGGCGCGGATTCCTCTCGCACCCCCCTCCTCGCTGAGAACCCCCCTTCTCCCCCCCCCCTCGATCTCCCCCCTGGCGGCTCTTCCACTCTCCTCCGCCCACGCGGCCCCGCGCCCGGTCCGGGCAGGAGGCCCCCGATCCACTCCTGTGTCTTGCCTTCCAGCAGAGCCTCCAGGCTGAACGTGGAGACCTGCGGCTCCGCCTCCTCCTCCCCCTCCTCCTCCTCCTCCTCCTCCTCCTCCTCGCTCCCCGATCCACTTCCTCCTCGCTCCCCGATCCTCCTCCTCCTCCTCCTCGCCCGGGAGCGGTGCGCGTCCCCGGCCGCGCGCTCGCCGCCGACCTCCGTGCCGACGCTGCCGCGGCCCCCCCCCCGCCCGCCCCCCCGCCCGCTGGAGATGCACATCGAGGAGCGCGGGGAGAGCCGCAACCCACACCGCAGCGTCGCGCAGAAGGCCTCCCCCCGGCCCCGGCCCGCGCGAGGATGTTGTCGGGGGCGGAAAAGAGGGGGGTGATGACTAGAGGGGGGTGGATATCATGGCGGGGGCCATGATATTTCCCCAGATCTCATGGCGCCTTTTCTTATTTCATTACGCCCCTGGCCCCCCCGCTGGGCCGCGCACATGCCGCCGGTCATGATTTGCACCCCCCCCCTCTTGGACACCCCCCTCTTGGCCGCTCCCGATGTTGGCGTGCTACTACTTGACTGTCAGCGGGGGGGGGCAGGCTGCGGCGGCGGCGGCGGCGGCGGCGGCGGCGGCGGCGGAGGAGGAGGAGGAGGAGGAGGAGGAGGAGGAGGAGGAGGAGGAGGAGGAGGAGGAGGAGGGGAGGAGGAGGAGGAGGAGAAGGAGGGGGAGGAGGAGGAGGAGAAACGGGAGCACCGTGCTCCCTCCCACGTTGCGCCGCAGCCAAGGCACACGCACGCAGTGACGAGCGCCCTCATCGCTGCTGCCCAGGGCACGCTTCTCGGCAGTGCCCGCAGACACGTGGCATCGGTGGCGGCGGCGTGGAAGCCTTGGACGAGGACGAGGACGGGAATGCGGGGGGAGGGAGGGGAGCTGGGAGGCTGCTGCTATCCGATCGGCTTGGAGCTGGGCGTGCTCAGTACGCTTCTGCTGCCTCGCGGCGGGCAGCGCAAGTGTACCACCTTCGCCACCGCCCAAGAGGAGGAGGGGGAAAGAGGAGGGAGGAGGAAGGAGGGGGGAGGAGGAAGAAGGACGAACAACAAACGGGGTAGATAGGAGAAAGGAGGAAGGAGGAAGAAACACAAACGGGGGAGAGAAAAAGAGAGAGAGAGAGAGATGCACGGACGGAGGGCATACGTTTCACCGCATTGCAGCGCCGACGACAGGCATCATCGGATAGTTGTCATGTATGTGGTGTTTGGGGTCCCCGTCTCTTTGCTTCAGTGCTTCGACCTGTGCAACTTGATCAGGGGTTCTTCCGCATAAGAAGCTTCCAGCGGGTGGGGAGAAATGACGCTGATGATGACGATGATGATGGTGAGGGTAAGGGTGAGGGTTAGGATGAGGATGAGGATGGGGATGATGGGGAGTTCTAGAACAGTAAGCGCAGAACGTGGGAGGGCCGCGCGATGCTTGCATCTGCCATCGTTTTGGCCCAAGCCTTTTTCGGAGAGGTCGCGCGCCGCAGGCAGCCCGCGACCTGAATGCGCCAGGCGGGCCGCGGTGCGGTGCTCCTGGCGTTCCACGTGGGCTCCGCGTGGCTGGGGCAGTGGTGGGCCGGCCGCGGCCCCGCCAGCCCGCCCGCCGCGCGGCCGGCGGCCGCCCTTCCGCCGGCTGCGGCGCCGGCCCCAGCTCCGCCAGCGCGGAGCTGCCCGGCGGCCGCGCCGCCGACACCCGCGCTGGCTGGAGAGCTGTGCGCGGAGCTGGAGAGGTGCTTGCCTTGGGGGGCGTCGGCACCGCTGGTGGAGTGCCCTGATCCTTGCCCGGCGTGCCCCGAGCCGGCCAAGGCGGAGTTCTCCTGGGGCTTCGAGGTCTCCTTAGGCTTGGGGACCCTCCTGCTCTGGGAGCTCGCCACCAGGCTTTGGGCCGCCGTGCGCGGCCAGCTGGGCCAGAAGCGCGAGGTGCTTCTTGCGGTTGAGGCTTGCAGCGAGCAGCGAGGTGGCTCCACTGGTCGGCGCGCCGGATCGCAAGGTGCCAGGAGGGCGCGGCAGGATCGTTGGTGACTGGACTCCGCCTGGAACCAAGGCATGAACATCGAAGATGAACTGTATGTGGAATACGATTTGCCAGGGGCTCCGCTTCTGCGTCCGCGTCGTGGTCGGCATCTCTGGGATCGAGGGGCTCCATGTTGCAGTCGTTTCTCTTGATCATGACTTGTTCATTGAGCTGTTCAGCGAGGACAATGACGACATCCGACATTGGTACAGAGTCGGACCAGGGCGTGTTCTTTTCCGAGAGGACGGGGACATCATCCCAGCCGCTGGCGGAGCTGGGCTCAGGGTCTACGACTTCGCCGCCGCGCTCACGCCCGCGGAGCTACAGGCCTTCAGGCCAGGGTGCTTCTTGCTGGCCACGATGCTGCTCTCGCTGTCGCTGCGGCACGTCGTGCAGGTGGCGGCGGCGGGGCGCTGGTCGCCGCTGGAGGCGGCGGGGCTGCTGGTGGAGGCGAAGCGGGTGCTCCCGCGCCCGCGGCTGGCGGCGGCGGACTCGCTGTGGCAGGAGGACCTGCTGGCGGGCTGGCCGCTCTGCTCGGAGGAGGCGGAGGCGCCGCGGCGGGCGGGGCTGCTGGAGGAGGCGGCGTTGGCGCACTCGGGGCGGGACCCGCCCCAGCGGCTGCCGGGGTGCTTGGAGGCGGCGCCGCCGCAGGAGCCCCCGCGGGAGGTAGGCTCGCCCCCATGCCTGCGCCCGCAGCTGGAGGAGCCCCCGCGGCTGGAGCCGCCGACGCGCCCGCAGCCGCTGTCGCCGACGGCGCCGCTGGGCTCGCAGCTGCACTGGCTGGAGCCGGAGGAGGACCGCTGGCGGTCGCCGCGGATGGGGCTGGAGACGGTGGCTCGGGCTCAGGTGAGTGCCGCGCCCTCTCAGTGCTGTACGACGTCAACGGGAAGCGGCATCGCGCGTTCGCTTCGGGAGTGGCTCCGCTTCGGTCAATGGGCTGGAGCGATTGGGTGGTGCCAGGCCCGAGGACAGCACACTGGGTGGCCAACTTCATGCTTGAGAACGGAGGGAGCGCATTGGGGCATCATGTGCAGTGGAGGTCGATCATACGCTTGGGTCTCGACGACGTTGTCGTCCCGGCTCATCATGAGTACTCGAAGATCTTCGAGACGGCGCTGTGCTACGACCAGTTGGACCTCACAAACTTGGCCAGTCTCGAGTTGGTATCTCGCCAACTTCAGCTCTGTGAAGAAAGGCGCAGAGATCGAGTCCTGGGAACGAGGAAGGACAACAACGAGCACCAGGACGAGGAGTACTACTTCTCGGGGATGGCCACTACCCGAGGGCTCATGGTCGCCCCAGCGCTCTCTACCTGGATCAGCGAGCAGATTGCAAGAGAGAGCGCCGTCGCCAAGGAGAGGCGTAAAGCGCGGGAGGAGAGACAGCTGGCCAAGCCCAAGGGGCCCAAGGGGCCGAAGGGGGCGGACGGTGGCTAACTTCCTCCCGGACCTCATCGATCAAGGCTGCCTGATGCTCCCTGGCCCCGGGCGCGCAGGCTCTTACATCTTCGGCCGCGAGGTGACGATGCGCCAGCGCGACATCTTCCCCTTGCCTCTTCTCTCTGTCCCTTCTACGACTGGCGTTGGCTGCCGTGCTGTCGCCCGTCGTGCTCATCGCCGCCGTCATGCGCTCGACTGGGCCAACGATGGCATCCGATCTCTCAACTCACTTGCTGGACGCGATCTTGCTGGCGATGATGCCGTCAGCGCTGTGCAGCGGAGATGCCTCGAGCATCTGGAGCGCAGCTATTGCGCTGTGGGTGTCTGTCCAGCCGATGTGTCGCCGCGGGAGCCTTCGTGAGCTCTGCGGGGGCGCCGTCATTTACGGCGACTGCGCTACAACAGTCGTGCCCTACAACAGGGACGCTGTGTCCTGGCCAGCTGCGGGAGCGAAGCCTGTCTCACTGGGCGATGCGCTGCCAACCGAGCACCCTACCTGGACGAGGGATCTGACGGCCAACGTGCGAAGACCTCCAGCTGCAGCGGCTGGCCTTCGGTCTGAGCTCGGACTTCTACGTCCTTCTCTCGACCCAGCGCTTCGTGATCGCAGAGTGCATGGAGATTTTGTTACTGGGCTGGTGAGTCGCGGCATGGCTCGCCTAGTTCCCGCCGAGGAGCTTGACGACAGCAGTGCAACGGTGGGCCTGTTCTTTGTGAAGAAAAAGAACCGGATGCAGAGGATCATCTTCGACGCCAGGCTGGCGAACTGCGACTTCACGCCGCCGCCGTCGACGCACCTGCCCTCAGCCGCGGCGCTCGCGAAGCTGGAGACCCAGGAGTGCGACGTCGTCTGGTTCAGCAGCGGGGACATCAGCAACGCCTTCTACGCCATCGAGGTGCCAGAAGAGTTGGGGCCCTGCCTCAGGCTTCCCGCGCTCCGCGGGGGCGCCGTTGGCATGCGGGGCCGCAGCGCTTCGACACTCTTGGTCCTGGTGATGGCGGTGTTGCCGATGGGCTGGAGCTGGGCGCTGCACCTCTGCCAGCTCGTGACGGAGGAAGGGCTTTCGCGCGGCGGCCAGCGAGGTGATTCCCTGGCGAAGGATCGCGAGGCCTCTCGCCCGCTGGGGCCTGGGCGCGCGCTTGGGGCAGCTGCGCACGTCGACACCTTCATGGTGATGGGCTCGCCCAAGCAGGGCGCCTGCGCCGCAGGTCAGGCTGCTGCGGAGGCTCTTCCCAGCCACGGCTTCACGATCCATGAGGAGACCGACGGGGCGGTGGACCAGACCGACTTCGTGGGCCTCACGTTTGACGGGCGCGGGCGCACCGTTCGGGCCTCCACCAAGCGCATCTGGAGGTTGAGGCTGGCTATCGAAGAGCTTTTGGGCTGCCGCGCCTGCTCGTTGCACGTTCTCGAGATCGTGGCGGGGCATGCGACCTGGATTATGATGGTTCAGCGGTCCTCCCTGTCGGTGTTCAGCTCTGTGTATGCGTACATCAAGGCCATGGGCACTGAGGAAGGCGAGCTGTGGCCGGCAGTGAAGGAGGAGCTCCGGCATGTCAGGAACCTGCTGCCGCTGATGGAGGCCCGCGCGGACGCCGACTGGCACGGCAAGGTGACAGCCAGCGACGCCTCTCACTGGGGCTGCGGGGTCTGCGAGCGCGTGGCGAACGTGGAGGAGATCGCGCGCTGGGGGCGGACGGCCGAGCGCTGGCGGCACCGCCAGGGCGCTACGGCTGCGCGAGCCCACGTCTTGGGGGGCGAGGAGGCGGCCGCCAAGCTGGAGCAGATGCTGGCGCTGGACGACCTGCCGGACAGCCTGCGCCAGGCCGATGAGCACGCGAGGGCCTTCGTCATGGTCGACGCGAGCTTCGCGGACCCAGAGGCGCGGCAGATCGTCGAGTTGTTCCCCTGGCGGGGCCCAGCGAACATACTGAGGTTGGGTCTCGCTTTGTCCAACGCCCTTCGGCATCTCCTTCGAGATCAGAAAGCCTTCGGACATCGTGTGCTTCTCTTGGTCGACAACCTGGGGCTGGCCCTTGCGGCTGGAAAGGGCCGATCCTCGGCCTTCCAGCTTCGGGGCATCCTTCGGGGGATCAGCGCCCTCACTCTGGCTTGCCGCCTCCACGCGTGTGTCCGCTGGGCCCCGTCCGAGAGGAACCCGGCGGATAACCCTTCGCGAGGCCTGTACTTTCTCTAGCCGCAGCTGGAAGAGGAGGGTGCCAAGCTGGAGTCTGCTTCTGCTGGTGATGAGCGTGGGGGGCTGCCAGCCGTGCCAGAGTTCCCGAGCTTCGGCGCAGGCCAGGAGCGGTCGGTCTCGCACGCGAAGCAGGACGGAGCTGGAGGCCCCTCAAGACGACTGGATGAAGATGATTGGCATCATATCGACTGCGGCGGCGGCCGCCAGGAGGACCTGGTGCCACGCGCCATCGCCCGAGTCGGCGCCCCTCCCGGGCTCGTGCCCGCCGTCCTTCCTGGAGTCGAGGTCAGTGGCGAAGGCGACCTTCTCGGACTACCAGAGGAGAGCCAAGGCCTTTCTGGGATGGGCGCTGCAGGCAGGGTTGAGCTGGACCTCAGTCGAGGAGCTCGACATGGCGCTGGTGCTGTACATGGACAGGCTGTTCTGCCTGGGGTGCGCCGGGGACGTGGCCAGCAAGACCTTTGCTGCGGTCAAGTTCTATTACCCGGAGGTCGGCAGGTACGGCCCGCGGAGCTTGCCGAGGGCGACCAGGGCGCTGGCTGGCTGGGCCAAGGTTGTTCCGCGGGCAACGCGGATGCCTGTGCCGTGGCTTCAGGCGGCGGCGCTGGCGGGGCACCTCTTGTCGCGGGGCTTGCTGGAGCACGCTGTCGCGCTGCTGCTGGCGTTCAATGCATACCTCCGCCCAGGCGAGCTGGACGCGCTGACGTCCATGCAGCTTGTTGCGCCGGTGGCAGGCGCAGGGTTCGGGCAGCAGCACTGGACGCTGCTGCTAGGACCGAGCGAGCTGGGAGCTCCGACAAAGGCGGGCGCCTTCGACGAGAGCGTGGTGCTGGACGGAGTCGGGTATCTCTACGAGTGCCTCTCAGTGCTCAAGCGGCGCAGCCAGCGCGTGACAGACAGGCTGTGGAGCTTCGCACGCAACGACCTGTCGATGGAGATGCAGGTGTCAGCGGAGGCACTCGGCCTGGGCCAGATGGGTTTGACCGTCTACGGCCTGCGGCACGGCGAAGCCTCTCACGACCTGTTGACCAGAGCGCGCTCGGCTCTAGAGGTCAAGTCCAGGGGAAGGTGGCAGCCAGATGCAATGCTGAAGAGGTACGGCAAGGAGGCGAGAGCGTTGGCAGAGCTGCACAAGGCCCCAGCCCAGACGCTCGAGTTCGGGCGGCTCGTCGCCGCCAGGCTGGAGGCGATCTTCCTCAATCGCGAGGGCTTGCCGCCGCTGCCGGCGCCCCCCCTGGGACCTCGCTCAGTGACGCCGCGGTCAGGGTGAGGGTGCGGCGAGTGCTGAGAAAGGCGCTTGCCTCTGCTCGGGTCTCTAGGAAGCAAGTTTTTCTGGAACTTTATTCTGGCCAGGGGGGCATTTCCAAGGCGATGCGAAACCTCGGTTTGGGGGTCGCGCCGGTCGACATTTTAAAGCTCCCCTGGTTCAATCTGGATAGGCTTTGCATTCAGAAGATGGTGCGGGGGTGGATCACGGGGGGCGTCGTCGTCGGTCTCTGGATGGGGACTCCTTGCTGCTCTTGGTCTCAGGCTAGGCATGGGCCCCCAAACAGTAGTTGGTGCCGTCTCAGGAGCCCTTCTCATCTGTGGGGTTTACCTAACCTCAGCCAGCGTGCTCGCCTAGCCTGTGAGAAGGGCAATTCTCAGCTCAAGTTCTGCCTCTCCTTGCTTCGTGCCTGCCGTAGCAACCATGTTCCAGTGGCGTTGGAGAATCCAAGCAGCAGCTATATGTGGCAGACTGCTCAGCTTGCCCGCCTCTCAAGGCGGCCAGATAGCCATCAGTGTGTTGTGGATTTTTGCGCCCTCGGAGCCCGCTGGCGGAAACGCACCCGTGTCCAGGTCTGGAGTTCCAGTTTTCGGATTACCCTCCCAGGGCCTTGTCGCGGGCGTTCGGGCCAGTGCAGTTTTACAGGCAAACGCCATATTATCTCTTCTGGCCGTGACCCAAATTCGGGCAAACTCTGGACCAGTGTTGCTGAGCCTTACCCCGGTCGATTTTGTGTCCTGTTTGCCCGGGCGTTGGAGCAGGCGATCCAGTCACCTAAGTTGAGCCGACTCCGACAAATAGTTAGTTGCGGCTAGTACCAGAATCCCATTCGGGGTGAGGATTTTTCTCTTCCTCCCTCGTTCGGTGTGGTGTTGTGTTGTGGTGTGTGCTTGTGCCGTGTGCGTCGTGCCGTTCGTTCGCCCCCCCCCCCTCCGCCGAGCTTGGAGCGTGGCCCGTCCTGTCCTGCTCGACCTGCCTGGCCTGAGACACGCAAAATGTCCTGGCCTGATTGAGCGTCGCGATGATTATGCTGTTGATGACGGTGGTGGTGATAATGATATTGATAAGGACGAGGAGTATGATGAGGATGGTGAGAACGAGGATAAGGACGAGGATGAGGATGATGAGGATGCTGCTGATTATGATGAAGATGAGGATACTGATGATGATGCTGATGATGATGATAGTGATGATGATGATGATGACGATGATGACGATGATGATGACGACGATGATGATGATGGTGATGCTGATGATGCTGATGATGATGGTGGTGGTGATGATGATGAGGGGAAGGAGGAGGAAAGAGCAACGAGGAAGGTGGAAGGAAGAGGGAGGAGGAGGAGGAGGAGGAGGAGGAGGAAAAGGAAGACTCGGAGGATGTGGGAAGTGAGGGAGAGCTGAATGAGGAAAAAGGAGGGCGAGGAAGTGAGACGAAACAACCACAGCTGCGGAACGTCATTCGCGCCCTGTCGATGAACAGATGTGTGAGACCATGGCCCGCGAATTATGCTGGCTACTGTTCGGAGATACAATCAGAACCACGCGAGGCGTATGGCAAGTTGTGAGTGGAGACGGGGGGGGAATGTCCTTGAGGTCGATGTCGGCGTGCTGTTCATTATCGGTCTGCTCGTGCGATGTCCGTGCCGTGGTGCCCGAGAGGGGATGTGAACGGACAACGCTTCGTCGGATGTCTGGCCAGGGGAGGTGAAGAGGGATTGGGATGGGTGGATGTACGAGGACGAGGGAAAGGCATCTCTGTCCATCCACTCCATCCCTCGTCCCTCGACTATCTCACTATCTCTTCCCCCCCCTCCCTCCACCTCCTTCTCCTCCTCCCGCCAACGGTCTCGCACCTCCCTCTCATTTTTATCCTCCTCTTCCTCCTGCCCCTTCCGCACCATCCTCAGAGCTCATGATCCCTCCCCCTCCTCTCTTGTTTCCATCAGCCCTCCTTTCTCCTCCTCCTCCCCCGTGCTTTCAGCGGCAGCGGGCCCTCCCCCAGCGAGGAGGCAACCAATGCCGCTTGCGCCCAGTGTCGCCTTGTACCGAGGCAAGGTTCCCCTGCTAGCGGCGCATCGGCTAAGGCCGAGCGTGCCATGCAGCTTTCGTCGGCAAGGGACGGGGGCTTGCATCTATACCCTACCCAGGGGTCAGCATTGCTTTTTCGGTAGGCGAGGGACCAGACCCCCAACGGCCTTATCCTTATCCTTCTCTTCCCTCTTGCCTCCACCCTCTTCTCTTCTCTTCTCTCCTCTCCTCTCCTCTCTTCTCTTCTCTTCTCTTCTCTTCTCTCCTCCTGCTCCTCCTCGCCCTTCTCGCTCATCCTTTTCTTCCCACCTTCCCGCGTTTCCATTTGAAATGTCTGGATCCCTTCCCCAGGGCCGGTTTTCCCCCTGAGTCCGAGCCGCCTTTTTGCGTTTCGGAACCAGGCAAGGACCCCTAGATACAGAAAATCACCAAAAATCATTCGCCGACATTTATTTGCGACGCGAGGGCGTCAAGGTGTCCTGTCCAGTCCTCCTGCGCTCCAGCCTCTCCCCTCACAGCCGGCGCCGCAGATAGAGAACCGGCGGGAGCACAAGCTCGGCGGACTGAGCGTCCCGCTGATGCGCATTAGCGTCGCTGGGCCCCGCTTCAGCCGCTGCGAGGGATGGACGGATGATGATGGTGATGATGATGATGAGGAGGAGGAGGAGGAAGAGGATGATGATGAGGATGATGATCATGGTGGTGGTGGTGGTGATGCTGATGGTAATGATGATGATGGTGGTGGTGATGATGATGATGACGACGAAGATGATGATGGTGGTGATGATCATGATGATGATGATGATGATGCTGATGATGATGATGATGATGATGATACTGACGACCATGATCACGATTATGATGATGATGATGGTGATGATGATGATGGTGATTGTGATGACGATGCCGATGCCGATGCCGATGATGCTGGTGAGCATGGTGATGACGATGGTGATGATGGGGATGCTGCTGATTCTGCTGACGACGATGACGATGACGGTGACGATGACGATGTGATGATGATGACGATGATGATGATGATCATGATGATGGTGATTATGCTGATGATGATGATCATGGTGATGATGGCGACGGTGATGGTGATGTGATGATGATGCTGTTGCTGATGCTGATGCTGATGATGATGATGATGTTGATGATGGTGCTGAGTTTGATGCTGCTGATGCTGATGCTGTTGCTGATTATGATGGTGATTGGGTTGCTGATGCTGGTGCTGGTTATGATGCTAATGCTGATGATCAGGATGAGGATGAGGATACGGATGATGATGTTGATGATGCTGATGCTGATGTTCATGCTGATGCTGATGATGACGATGATAATGCTGCTGGTGGCGATTCTAATAATACTAATGCTGATGATAATGATGCTGATGATGCTACTGCTGGTGATGATGACACCGACGATGGTGATGATGATGATGATGATGATGATGATGATGATGATGCTGGAGGTGGTGGTGATGATTGCTGCTGATGCTGCTGCTGGTGCTGCTGCTGCTGATGATGATGATTCTGATGATGGTGATGATGATGATGCTGATGATGATGATGATGATGATGATGATGACGATGATGATGATGATGATGATGATGGTCGGGAGGAGGAGGAGGAGGAGGAGGAGGAGGAGGAGGAGGAGGAGCTGTCTTTCGTGCTTGTCCATGCGCTACAGCTAAAACGAGGCAGTCGATGACAGCAGAGACCTGCTCGAGTCGTGAATAATCACGACGGGAGGTTTTTGGCTGTTTTGGGCCTCCAGGGGCCCTCGTCGAGCACTGGACCGTCGCAAAATGACTCGGGATGAAAAACGGGCCCTGGGGAAAGTGTCGGGAGTTCCGGGGGCCACGCATTGAAACAATCAAGACATCGAATGCTTGGGAGTGCTCTGTCATAGGTACCCCTGCGTCCTTCGCTGGACACCCTTGCATTCTCGTCCTGCCCTTCCTCCTTTTGGGGGGGCACCGTGTCTCCTTCGCCCGCCCTCATCTGATTCCGGCTGCACGTGATTGGCAGGTTGCTCGGTTGGTTACGGAGCCAGTGTTTTGGTCGTCAGGACCCCCTCGTAGCCACCGCTGGACTCAGCTTGAGAAGCCTGCCTGCCAGGTTAATTCCCAAGACGGATTCGGACTCCTATCCTGAGCAGGTTCCAGTTTGGGAGGGGGAACTCACTAGGCGTTCTAGGAAGGTCTTCGCCCTCGAGCCATCGGAGGAGTTGACGCATCCTCCCCGGTGGATTGCCGCCGAAAGGTGGCTGAAGCAAAGCGGTGGCTGAAGAAAACGGTGGCTGAAGTCGGTGGAAGCAAGATATGCGCCTCCACGAGATGACAGCACCTTTGGATCTGGGAGTTCGGGAACGAGCCACGCGGGTGGAAAGGGGGGGTCACGAGTACACCCTAGGCGATGCTTAAGAAAACGTAAGGTTTCGGCCAGAGTCTTGATTATTCTTATTGTTTCGATGGGAAGCTTAATTTTTTGGTAGAAATTGGGTTTTTTATTCGAATTCATTCTGAGACTATGAATTTCTTAACCCATGATTTCTTAAGCATTTCGCAGGGTGTAGGCACGCCGGTGGTTGCATGCGTCCCCCTCCGCGGATGGGGCCGCCGCCGCTCGGCTGGTGGTTACGTGGCACCCTCGCGGCGGAGCCCTGCGAGCCCACCTACCGCAGATCGAGGTCCAGGGGGGTCCGTGGCCCCTGGCGAACTACACTCTAGGCGATGCTTAAGAAAACCCAAGGTTTCGGCCAGAGTCTCGATTATTCTTAATGCTTCAATGTGAATCCCAAGATTTGAATAGACATTCTTGGTTTTTACTCAAGTTCTGAGACTATGAATTTCTTAACCCATGATCTCTTAAGCGTTTCGCAGGGTGTACCGTAGATAGAGGTCCAGGGGGTTCCGTGGCCCCTGGCGAGCTATGGCGCGGCATGCCCCTCGAGTTCGGCGAATTTCCAGCACCACTGTCATAGCACAAGTGATGTCCAAGGGGCCTTCGAGAGCAAGAAAGCACGCCCCCCCCGCCCCGCGCGTCTGACATTGCTCGGCGGCCACGGGGCTCTTCGCCAGCATTCGGCGGCACCCCAACATACTAATGCTAGGTGCGCGTCGCGCCCCCCAGGGGCGACGAGCGCAATGAGAAATCTTACAGTGCATGCGTCGTGGCGGGCGCTTACTGCCCGTGCCGCTCGGGAATCGATCTGCTGCAAGATCGTTATGCTGAATGCTCGGGTCGGGCGCACGCCTCCGAGGAGGACGCATCGTATTAGCATGCCCTCACAGCGGTGCCCCCGCCTGTCGAAAATGGCGGTGGATCCGTAGGACTGTTCGCCGTGTGCGATGCGGTCCCCCAGCCACAGTCGGAGAAGAGGGGGGGGAGAAGGAGGAGGAGGAGGAGGAGGAGGAGGAGGAGGAGGAGGAGGAGGAGGAGGACGAGCAGGAGGAGGAGGGGAGGAGGAGGAGGAGGAGGAGGAGGAGGAGGAAGAGGCTCAGGCCCTGGGTGCGGGCGCGATGCCGCTCCACGTGCACTGCCAGGACGCCCCAGCAGCGGCCGGCCGCCCCAGCCCCTCCTGCCGACGTCCCTCGCGCTGTGAACGCCTCCCCTCCCCCCTCCCTCCCCTTCCCCTCCCCTCCCCTCCCCCTCCCCTCCCCTCCCCTCCCCTCTTCCCCCTCCCCTCCCCCTCCCCTCCCCTCCCCCTCCCCTCCCTTCTTCCTCGCGCTGTGAACGCCTCCCCCTCCCCTCCCCTCTTCCCCCTTCGCTCCTCGCTGCCGCCTTCCGCCTTCCTCTGCCCCTCGTGCCGCCGGACAGCTCGTACTCCGTGCTCCCGGGCTCTTTTCGGGGGTGGACAGAACCCCCACCCCGACACGTCGATGAGTGGCTTGTCCGCTTTCGGTTCTCGAGAGGGCGCCGTGGCCGTCACTCTCCAGGCTTGCGCCCGCCAGGTTTGGGCCCGAGGTCGTTTTCACTCAACCACGTTTTGCCAAAGTCAGGAGGGAAAAATCAAACAGACACAATTAATCGTCGATGGCCCAGAAAATATGGGAAAATCTGGGAAGTGGGGGAAGACAAACATCCAGAAGATCTGGAAACATAGGGGGGATCCTTTTGTTTGTGTGTATTTCTTTGTGCGTCCCAGGGCCTCTTCACAGAGGGGGTGCTGTCCATCCCCGAGACTTGCGCGCGCGTGCGCGCTGCCTCTGCCGCGCGACGGCGACATGAATGCGTACAGTCGGGGCGCTGAGGAAGGAACCCTTTTCGTTGGGGAGGGGCTCGGTGTTCCTTAGTTGTTTTGCAGTTCGCCTTGGGTTTTCCTTCGGGGTTCGATGGGAAATCAAAGTCTACTCATGGGACAAAAGGGGCCTCGTTCCTTATCTAGGGTTCCTTAGGTCAACGCCCCGACTGTAGGGTCGCGAGCTCAGGCCAGGACGGACTTCGGCAAGTTGAGATTGCCAGGCAAGGAAAAGCCGCCGATCGCGATGCTCAAGACGCCTACTACAGAGGAGAAGCAGCGCTGGTGGAGGTCGCTCAAGATGGACGACTTCGACGGGCCCATCCCCAGGCGGACGAGCTCCAGGCGGCGGCGCGCGCTGACGGCCCTGGCGACTCGCCAAGGCCTGCGGCAGCGCAGCATACAGCTGGCCGCGCAGCTGGCGTGGCTGGCCCTGCGGGCGGAGCGGCTGCGGCGTCGACGAGTGCTTCGGCGTCCTCGGCCGCGGCGGCGGTGCAGCCCGTGGAGCGCGAGGGCGAGCAGGAGCTCTTCGAGCCCGCCCTGGAGGGCGTCCTCCGCGCGCACGGCTTCGCGTCGGCGGAGGACGCTCGCGCCCGAGGGCGCGAGGCAGCCCAGGCGCGCGGGGAGCGGGACCGCGCGCGGGCGCTCGGCGCTGCGGCCCCGCGCGCGGCGAGGACGAGAGGCCCGCGCAGGTGAACGCCCCCTCCTCGGACGCCGCGGGGCCCGCCGCCGCCCCGCGCCGTTCGCGCGGGCGCGCGGCAGCGCCCGTGAATTCGTGGCATGACCACGCGGGTGTTCGCGCCAGCTCGAAGAGTTAAAAAAAACGCCCCGACTGTATCTCGGCCCCCTGTGCGTGGCCCGTGCCCCTCCCAGCCGGGCGAGGCCCGAGCGCGGGGGGGCGGCGCGGGCACGCCGCCTCGCGCCGCGCTCGCTGCCAGCGGGAGGTGCGCGGAGCCTCCGAGCACTCTTCGAGCAGAGGAGGAGGAGGAGGAGGGGGAGGGGGAGGGGGAGGGGGAGGAGGAGGAGGAGGAGGAGGAGGAGGAGGAGGAGGAGGAGGAGGAGGAGGAGGAGGAGCAGGGGATCGACTGCAGAAACGATCTGCCCCAATTTCGATTTTTCTTGTCGCATCCACGGGCAACTCGTAGAACTTTCGCAGATCTGCGAACGGTTGGCGCAATTTTGGGTTGAAGGGTCGACGTGGAAGTCAAGCGTGGGGCCCCAGCTCAGCGGGGCCTCTGGGCCCGTATTGATACCATCTCGGGCTGCCTTGGAAAACTGTTGCGGGAGGCCCCGGGCGCCAGGCGGGAACACACGATTGGTCCAAAGAGATCCGTGAATTGGGGTGTTCGGTCCTTGCAAGGGCATTCGCAATGTGCAATGATGATGGTTGAGGACTCAAGATACGGTGGGGCGTTGGTTAAGGAATGTGCCCAGGAGGCTCCAGACCCTGGAGGATTCCTCATCTTATGAGGGTGGTGGCGATACCCATGACCGATCCACAATGGGAATGCCGCTGGCTTCCAGACCCTTATCCAAGGTTTCCTGATCCAAGGTTTCCTTATCCAACGCCTCCGCCGTAATCAAGGTTTCCTTATCCAACGCCAAGGTTTCCTTATCCAAGGCTTCCTTTCCAACGCCAGGGTTTCCTTTCCTTTCTAAGGTTTCCTTCCGATCCTTATCCAAGGCTTCCTTATCCAACGCCTCCGCCGTAACCTGAGGGCACTCGGCTCAGGGCCTCGCGGCGCGGTGGTGCATCATTCATATATATATATATATATAAACATAGGCATATACATATTTATATACATAGAACACGAGTATACAAACGTGCACAACTGTACACGCATACATATATATATATATATATATATCATAGTTATGTACACGACTATATGTACGTATGCGATTGTATGTATATAGGGAAAAATTAATTAGCATGTATACAATGTACGCAATGTATATACACGGTTATATTTAGATGCACGCTTATACAAATATGTATATAGATATATATATTATATATATATATATATATATATATATATACATATATATATATATATGGGAGCTTATCGTCTGTTTCCGTTCGATAGGTTTTGTCTTGGAGTGTCCCCAGGAGGAGGAGGAGGAGGAGGAGGAGGAGGAGGAGGCGGATCAACAGGAAAAGGAGGAGGAGGAGGAGGAGGAGGAGGAAGAGGACAAAAGAGGAGCAAACTGGCCCCCGAAGCCCGCCCCCTCCACTGCAAGGCCAGGTGGCTCAAAGAAGGTGCCCGTGGTGGACGTGGGCATGCTGCGGAGCAGGCTGAAGCAGCCCTCGGGAACGAACGTCAGGCGCGTTCCTGCCCAGTCCGCCCCCCCTGCTCCCAACGTGGCGCCCACCTCCTCGCGTCGTGAACCCAAAACTCAGAGGAGGGAAGGGTACCGATACCGCTACCATTGCCACCTCGTGTTGCACTTTTCTCGGCCTCTGGGGAGGCTCTCGTCGCCACCGCTGGACTCGCCTCGAAATTCTGGTCAGAAGGTACCCGGGGGAGGTCTGGGGGGAGTAACGGTATCGATACCTTTTGGTTCTTTTGGCCTTCAGTGGCCTTCAGCGGGCCGCAGGGCGGTCAAGCGGCAAGTCACAAAAGTTGGTCCATGGGAGGAGTTAGCGACAAAATCGCGACGTCGGAGCAGATGCGTAGGAGGAGGAGGAGGAGGAGGAAGAGGAGGAGGAGGAGGAGGAGGAGGAGGCGAAATGCGCAACAGGAGGCGAGGGGAGCAGGCGCAAGGTGGAGGAGGAGTAGAGTAGGAGAGCATGGGGCCTGATGATTCTAAGCGGTGACCCCTAAGTGCAATGAAGGCCCAAGCCTGCAGCCGCAGCCCTCGCAAAGGCCCAGATCGCCAGAGTCCCGCTGAACAGCGGGCCCCATAGGCACGCGCATGCACATTTGCCACAGGCACTTGTGAACTTGACGAGGAGGATCAGGGGATGGAGGAGGGGCAGGGGTCCGGGGAAAGGGGGGAAGAGGAGGCGGAGGAGAATGAGGAGGTGGGTCGGAGAATGCGAAGGAATAGCGGAGAGGAAGATAATCACATAGTGCGACCATAAGCGGCGTCGCAAGAGTACGATCAGCCCACTTCGGATGGCAGAGGGGAGAGCGACAGGCTCCTTACTCCCCCTCCCCTTCCTCCTGCCATGTTCCCCCGCCTTCTCTCCCTCCCCTTCGCCCCTCCCTCCTCGTTCCCCTCCTCGCCCCCCTCTCACTCCTCCTTCATCGTCCTCCCCCCTCCTTCGCCGCCCTTTCCCACGCCCCCCCTGTCGTCTTCTTCTTCCTCCTCCTCCTTCTCATAATCATCAGCCGCCGTTTCCTGCTCCAGCCCCATCTTTCGCGGCCCAGCAGGCACTCCACGCAGAGCAGCTTCCGCCCTCAGTGCACCTTCATGTCATGCCAGCGCGGCTGGCCATCCATATCTTTTCTCTCGTGATTTTCTGGATGACATTCATGCGATGGGCCGTCTACAATCCGCTCAGCATGGTGGCGCCATTAAGAAGCATGGAGATTTCGCGGCAGTTCAGTGCAGTGGACGTTGTCATGTTGCCAGCGACGAGATGGAGACAGCACGACACCTCCAGCGCCGTCGACCAGCTGCAGACGTACAGGCACCGCATCTTCACCTGGGGGTGCGGCCGCGGCCCGCTCACCAACAGCCACGCGGGGGTCGCCATCATGGTCAGCAACAGGTTCCGCATCAAGTGCATCACGGAGCTGTCTAGCCCACCCGCGAGTATACAAGGCCGTGCAGGAGCAGTGCGCATTCGGCGAGGAGCACTTGACATGACCTACATCGTCGCGTACCTGCCGCCGCGATCGGGCCTCGCTAAGCAGCACAGCGCGTGGGTCAAGACAGTCAACGAGACGCTCAAGTGGATCAACAAAACGCTCAACGCGACGCCTACGAGAAGCACGCCCATCACTGGCCTCGACCTGAACGACCACTACGGCCAGGACGGGCTGATCCCCGCCACGCCCAGCAACGTGATCGGCGACGCGGGCCCCACGGGCATCCCAGGAGAAGTTGCAGCAGCATTCCACAACATGCTCGACGTCCACGGCATGTGCATCCTGATCACCTTCTGGAACGTAGGCCCCACGTACTTCGGAGTTCAAGGACAAGCCACACGTCCAGACTACATCGCAGTACCACAAGGACTACGGGCCCACATCATCTCTTGCCGAGACTGGTGGCGAGCAGCCAAAACACTCCAGCTCATCAACGACCACCTCCCACGCGATCACGTCCCGCCCATCGCAGCCGCCAACACCACCATCCCGAATGCATTCACCGAGCTGAAGCGGACCTCCTGGGACTACGACAAGATGGCACAGTCATTGCCGACGGGCAAGCGCCGCAGGGACTTCATCGCCGCGCTGGAGACGAATTCCGGCCAGAACCAGGAGCAGTTGCAGGACCTCGCCAGCGACAACACCACGGACGAGCACTGGAAGCTCACCATTCGCATTCTGCAGGAGACAGCCAAGCCCTTCTTCGAGCGCCAGCAGCGCAAGCCCGACAACTACCAAGAGCTCATGGAGGGAGGCTACGGCCCCTACAAGAACGCGCCAAACTCAGGGAGGACTACATCGGCCCCGCCCCCGACTTCGACATATAATTCCAGATCGAAGCTCTCACTCGCGCCCTCAAGAAGCAGAAGCGACTCCATGAGGCCGAACGGCGCCGCCAGCTTGAGGAGCTCATCTACGAGGCCTGGCAACGATGCGAACATGCAGATGTGCATCGACTGTCGCGGCTTCTCGCAGGCGCCAACTTCGGCAAGCGCAACCGCAACTGCAGCCGCGCCACCAGAGCACGACCCAGCCTACAGGAACGGGCAGACCACATCGCACAAGACGGGCAGCACGGAGGGTTTCAAGCACAGCCCATCAACTTCAGCGAGGAGAAGCGCATCCTGAAGGAGAGCGCCCACGACTTCACCACCGAGCACAACCAGCAGATCCGACAGGAGTACGAGGACGCCAGGGACAATGTCAAGCGCACCCTCTACGGCGTAACCAAGCGGCTCGTGTACTTCAAGAAACGCGCCTCCGTGCCCGGGTGGTCGCTGCCCGCAGAGATCTCCCAGGTGATCCTAGCGCCCGCCAACATCGCCAAACAGAAGTCAAAGACGACAGGCGCGGGCTACGACGACGAGCTCGCCGAGGCACCCCTCACGCAGGAATGCTTCGAGTCAGTCCCCAACCACGTGTACCGGGTCGGCTTTGCACCTCTCGACGCCGACGACAGCCAGAGCTTCCTCCTGGACAATCAGAATGGCAAGCCCAAGACGCTCGGTTCGCGCATCCTTCACATGCTCTGCCCCTTCTGGCGCTGCTTCTACCGCCACCTCCAATTCAAGTCGAAGCCGTGGCCCCCGCCACCACATGCGCACGGGTGCTGGCCACATCGACGTCGTGGCGTACCTACGGCGGCCACGCGCATCGTTGCCTACCGACTCCAGCGGGCCAAAGCCGTCTTCACCGCCAGCAGCAAGGACGCCACCAACGCGTTTCCCTTCACCAACATCGACAAGGCCGCCAGCACTATCCCGACCAACCTCAGCGTGACCGAGCAGCGGCTCTTCCGCCAGAGGTTCCACTGCGCCGGCGCCCAGATCAACAGGTACGATTTCACAGGTAACTATAGCATCGGCTCTGGGGCAATGCCAGGTTGCAGCACGGGCCCCACCTCATTCAACTTCGTCTACGAACAACCCGTGGGACAGTGGCTCGAGGACGCCCCGCAGGACACCGCCCCTTTCGCGGCAGTCTCGCCGATCACGCACGCCCTGCTGGACCTGTCCATCTACCTGTTCGCGGGCGACATCCTCAAGCCCCACCTCATTTCCACCGGCCTCGCGCGCGACGTAGCTCGCATCCTCGCCGACAGCAGCGCCGCCCTCGACAACTGCCTGGCCGAGTACGGGCTCCACCAGAACAGGGGCGAGGAGGAGGTCGTCGGAGGGCTGCGAACCAGGCGCGAAAACCGAGCACTAGCCGAACAAGTACAAGGACGAGTCCTCCGAACCCTCAAGTACCTCGGCGGTCACTTCCACCACGGCGGCAGCAACACCATAGAGATCGACCAGCGCATCCAGAGCATTAGGCGGGCCTGGCACAGCATGGGCAAGTTCTGGCACCGCAAGGTCTCATGGCGGCTTAAGCGCATCATCTTCATCAACCGCGTGATCGGCGCCGCAACCAGCGGCCTGGAATCCGACCTGCTCAAAGACAGAATACAAGCGCCTCGACGCAGTCATCGCCAAATTCATGCGATTGCTTATGAAGGGCAAAGCCACCGCCATCGACGAGGCAGGCCACTACAACACCATGGCCAACGCCGAAGTCTTCAAGCACTGCCACATCTCCCCGATGTATACCGAGCTGAAGGTTCGCAGGCTGCGCATGATACAGGCCTCCGTCAAGTACCCGCCAGACTACGACCAGTGGCTCACCGCGCTGTGTGGGTTCATCCAGTTTGAGAACGACTACAACCGCGAGCAGATCGGCGAGCTAGACGATGACGGCGCACTCACCGCAGACGCGAACCCCATGCCAAAGCAGTTCTACAGTGCTGTTCTCTCGGTTCTCGAGTTAGACAGCGCCGAGCAGTTCAGCTGCATGTGGGACGGAAGTACCACCCAACTATATCATGAAGCAGAGGTTGCAGCGGCATTCATCAAGATCGACTCGGCGGAACTACGGGCCAGGGCATCCGCAGTTGCTATTCCACCCCCTGGTCTTTAGCCGCCAGAGCCGCACGATCTCGACCAACGAGCAGGAGACGAGCTGGGTTACTACAAATGTGACCTTCTCACGGACGCAGGACAAGTCTGCGGCCGCAGTTTTTCGACGTGGGCAGCGCTCTGTGCACGCCGGACCGCGACAAAAGGAGGAGAGCACTGGCTTCGATCAGCAGCAGCAGCAGTCACCACCACCAATCAGTGCCCACTCTGCCGTACTACGTTCGTGGATCGGGCCCAGGCTGAAGATCATGTGTTGCGTTGGCTCAAGCACAAGCGCTGCGTTGCCGACAACACCAGGCTTCATTACCCGTTGATATCGATCGAGAACCCAGCTTGCCCCCTGTGCCCCAACATGCAGCCGCTTGCACATCTTTCGAGCCTCCAGGGCCACGTCTGCGCGGTACACTTGCCGACTGAAGAGCATCACGTCTCATTGGACAACGGACTGTTCCAGGATGACGTGGTGTCTGCCTACGGAAAAAGACATTGAGGACGTGGCGAGCAGCATGGCGGACACGGAGCGCTCGAACAAGCACCAGAAGACTACGCACCCCAAGGGCAAGGGCGGCCACCACAAGAAAGGCGACAAGGCCGAGACGGCAAAGGACGCGGACGGGGGCGCCACCATGCAGGACAATCGCCCTGACCACACCAAGGGCGAGGGCAGCCCAGCAGCCGCGGCAGCAGCATGACAAAAAGTGCGCCGACAGCAACGCGGAGGAGAAGCTTACCAAACCAAGTGCGACCCGAAGCTGAAGAAGCTGCTCACCGTGCTGATCAAGCAAGTGCTGGCCACCACACAACAGATCGCGTGGGTCGTTTCCGCGGTGCACAGCGCGAACCTGATGCCCACGCAGACCTAGGTGATCAAAGCACTACGAGCATGCAGGAATATCTACGCGGAGAAGTGCAGGGAAGCTGGCAAAGGACATGCGTTCGGACCACCAGAGGGCCACCTGTGCGTCACGCTTATTTCGACCCTCTGCACCGAGGACGTGGGTGCCAAGACGAGGACCATTCTCACCGAGCACGGGAAGTTCGTGGATCAGATCAACGTGGCCACCGTGCTCAGCAAAGCCAAGCACCTGAGGCCGAGCAAATGCTACGACAGCAACCAGGCGAAGCTAACCATCAACATCGAGCAAGGACCGTGGACCGATGCCGAAGCGGAGGAGGAAGCCAGCGAGGAGCAGATGAAGCAGGCCAACATCAGGGACAGCATCCACAGAGCGCTGATCCAGGCGGGGGCCACATTGAAGACGGGAAAGCCACCAGCGGGAGTCATGGAAGATGAGTTGGCCGCGCGGTTGGCAGGGTTATGAGAAAGTGGATGGCCGATCGACCACGCCTCGGTCGGCAAGTGATCGGCGCGCGTGGTGCCGTGATCACGATGAAGGTGCCGCTCTGAGCGGCGACGGCGGGGGGCCATCCATGCGGCTGAACGCACTGCACCGCCCCCAAAGGCCGCTCTATCTATTTACCTCATAAGCACCATTATCATCACCAATCCGTCGGAGTCCTCGAGCCGCCCTTTCAGAGAATCCAGCGAGTGGCAATGCTCAAGCTACAGCCTAGCAAGTGCATAGTTGCACCTCTCTGGGAGCAGCTCTCCCCGACCCTGTGCTCCTCAGTGTCTCAATTCCTGGCCGCTCAGGCTCCATCCTGGGCCAACCTTTGTGTGCAGGACTGTGCCAAGTACATGGACACGTACATCGGACCTGGGGCCTCTCTGGAGTTGATCTGGGACGGACAGCATCAGAAGTCTGTCAGGAAATGCAAAGAAGTAGACATACTGCATGGTTCCTCGTACGTGAATGACCGTCTGTATATCTCAGCTGTGGTCACATGCCTGTCTTACCTGAGCCACTCGTACCCGCTCACGCGTACCACTTTACGGCGCGAGCTCTTGGGGCGTGCAGAAGTGTTTGCGTTTCCCCCCCAATTCCTTCGCCCTCTCGGAGCTCCTTTCCCTGTCCATTTGATCCCTCTCTCCCACCCCTCATTCACTTGCTGCGACAGCTCTTGCGAACGCATGGCGGTTGGCATCGGCCACCCTTGCCCAACGCTGGGCCCCTCTCTATCACCGTCCCGAGCAGGCATTCACACGTCAACCTAGGAAATGTAGATCACATCCCGCTCGTCGGCCTGATCCGTGAGGAATGGCGGGCCAAATGCTGACAGATGGAGCAGTCGATTGTACAGAATTGCACTCATCTGCACAACGCTTCGCCTCGCCGGAGCCCCCATTAAATGCCACTCATATGTGCCTCGACCAGAGTCGTAGCCAGGAAGCGTTGAACAGGGCCGCCCTGGAGGGGCGTCGGCCCAAAATGCAAGGCGTTTTCTTCCGATCGATCTCATCCGCTGTTTTCCCTGATGATTTGAAATGCCTAATTGGACGTCGCCTGAGGTCGCGGTTCGATGGTCCCCCTCCCTGGCGGCTCGGTGAAAGATGGGCCCTCGCGCGTGAAATCTTGACCCGGGCCCCCCCGCGCATGCGCCGACCGCATTTAAAGACCGTGGCGGGAGGACGGACCACAGTGCACGTGACAGGTGAACATTCGCCTTGAATCTCTGGGTGTCCCCGCCCAGATTACACTGCTCACCGCCTCCGCTGCCCTCGCCTCGTCCGCCTTGTTTGGCCGCCCTCGTGCCATCCTCCCCCCTCGTGCCCTACAGTCAACCCGCAAAATAAGGATGGGCAACCTTCCCAAGGATACCCTTGCAACCTTGTCCCTTCGGCCCATCCTTGACCACTTTCTCTGGCCGTGCCCCGCTCGAAACGCTTCGAAATGGCCTTCCAAGGCCCTTGCATCCTTATCGCGCATCCTTACTATACAGGTTGACTGTATCCTCCGTCTTGGTCCCGGCCTCCCCGTTCAACATCCTGCGCTCGACCTCACCCGTGAGAATGCCATCCTTGCCGCCGGATTCTAGATCTATCGCGCAGCGAAAGAGATGGCAGGTCGGCAACAAGGAACGGCGCTCACGGTCCCACAGCAGTTCGAAGCTTCAGGGGCCGCTCGGGCAAGGATGCCCGACCACTTCTCCATTCTCCCCCCTTCGCCGCCTGAGTCCAGGCCATGCAGGTGGCTCAGGCCGAGGCGTCGAGGATGAGTTCATTAAACAACGTTGAAGGTACTGACGCTCCTCCTCATCATCGTCAGAATCATCACCACCAACAGAAGTAGCATTATCGCAACCAGAATCATCAGCAGCAGCATCCTCATCATCAGCATCACCTACGCCATCAGCATCATCATCATCATCATCATCAGCAGCATCATCAGCATCACCATCATCGTATTCATCATCATCATCATCATCATCACCAGCATCAACATCATCATCATCATCACCATCATCATCATCATCATCATCATCATTACCACCATCATCATCATCATCACCATCAGCAGCAGCATCTACCTCCACATTTTTTTCTTCTTCACCACCACCGTCATCGTTCAGATCCCGAATCCCATCTCCATCCTCATCCTCATCCTCCCATCCTCCTCACCACCACCGACATCATCACCATCACCAGCAACATGATCATAACCATCATGCTCACCAATCACATCTTCAAAATCACCATCATCATCGCCGTTTATATATTCATCGACAATAATTTTCAGTACCATCTGCATCAGCATCATCAGATTCATAATCGTCACCATCATCATAGTCCTCATCTTTATCTCAACCTTCATCCTTACCCTCAGCATCACCACAACCACCGACATAATCAACAGCACCAGCAGCGCCATCATACTCGTCAGCATCAGCAGCAACATCATCATACTCGTTAGTATGACAATGTGCGCATTCATGCTCCTCGCCATCATCACCACCACCATCATCATAGTCATCCTCATCATGATTCCTATCCCCTTCCCCCTCATCATCCTCATCTTCATCCTCAGTGACACCATCATCGACACCCTAATCCGTATCATCATTAAAATCATCATCAGCATCATCATCTGCATGTGTGCATTCACATCATTATCAACCGCACAATATTTCACATTATCACCCGCAACTTCAACATAATGTCCATCATCAGCATCATAAGCATCACCATGGTTGGCGTCATCTGCGTTACCATCTTCAACATGTTCGTCATCCATACGCATCAACATCATCATCACCATCATCATCATCAGCATCATCATCCCGATTAACATCATCATCATCAGCATCATCATCATCATCATCATCAGCAGCAGCAGCATCAGCATCAGCATCAGCATCAACATCGTCGTCGCCCCGAGCCCCCCCCTCGCCTTCGGACCTTTCGCCCACGAGGGGTGGGGCTCGCGCCTTTGTCGGGGGGAGAAGGGCGCGACGCAGGTGGGACCCCGCCACTCGCGACCGCCCAGGGGGCTGCTGGAGCTGCAGCGCCTCGAGGACGCCCGCGAGCGCAGCGACAGGCCCACCTTGCTTGGGGGAGGCACGGTGGGGAGGCGACGCGTTTTCGGCTCGAGGCTGCAGGGGGGAGGAGGAGGGGGAGGAGGAGGAAAAGGAGGAGGAGGAGGAGGAGGAGGCGGATGAGGAGGAGGAGGAGGAGATCGGGGAGATCGGGGAGTTCGGATCGGAGCCAGTCAGCATCGTTGACACAGCTGGCTATCAGCACCACCCTGTGGGGGTGGCCCACAGTAGAACTCTACTTGAGGGTCTTCTTCTTACCCGTCTTACAGAAGGAATTGGCAACTCCCTTTTCCCACCCAAAAACTTCTTCCCATTCGGCACGGGGTGGGATCGGCCAGGGCTTTCCTGGCTTGGGGGGGAGGCCCTTCTTAATTCGGTTCAAATAATTCTGGCCCGAAGGGGTGCAAATCTTCAAACACGGTTCCGTCAGCAAAAGGAGCCGACCCTCCTCGGTTGCCACGCTCCCGTAGTGACCGCACTTCCAGCACCAACCTAGTCCATGCAACATCCCGCAGACGTGGGAACTGTGGACTTCTTTGGTTCGGGTACAGACCAGGCTGGTAAGTTGGGTGGGCACCAGGACATGGGTTCCAGCTTCGCTGCGAATTCTACCCAGGGGGTCACCACTACAGCGTGATCCTTCGAGCCAGTCAACCAGCGAGCCCCTGCCAGGGCCCAACCGACACACGGCAAGCCCAGCTCCCCGAGCCCAGACGGCCCAAGACGTGCCCAGATGAGGAATTCACCTGTATGAGCTTAAACTATGTTGATTTCAGCGTGTATGTGTGCCCGTAATCATCTTGGCTTGGGGCACCCTCTGTGTTCTCATCTTGCGATCTGTCTGATAACCATCACTGCTCGCTTCCGCTGCCGATGTTGGCGTGTCAGTGGTAGCGGAACCCGTGGATCGATTCCCGCGGGCTCGCTGCTGGCGCGACTGATGTCCGCGCACAGCAGCCGCAGTGGACGAGGAAACAGTGGTGGAGTTTGGAGACTGGTTGGAGCAGGATCGGAGACAAAGGACAGCGCCCCCAGCCCGAGTGAGAGCGAGGGAGCAGGTTTTACGGAGCAGCAGCTAGCGACTCTGTTGAAGCTGATAGGAGAGAGCAGCCGTCACCAGTTCCAGGAGTTGAAGGACGAGCTGCGGAACCTTCCGCAGCAGGGAGCGAGCACGAGACCGCCGGAGACCAAGACCGAGGCGGTCCACGAGACAGAGGGTGCGGGCCGGCACGCTCGCGACGACCCGTGGGCCCAGGATGACCCATGGGGCGGCCGGCAGGAGCCAGACGAGCAGCCAGCAGGGAAGTGGGAGCGAGGTACCTCGTGGGGAGGTATGCGCGAGCCCTGGTGGCAGAGCTCCGACGGCAAGAGCCACGGCTACGACGGGAACAAGAAGGACGACCACGACGGGCAGTGGTCATGGAGAGGCCGCGACTGGAGCTCGTCCAGCTGGTCATGGCATGAGAAGTCCTGGTCCAGGCCTGACTACTCGGACCCCGACCCGTGGATGGGGTGGGCGGACTTCCGCATCTGGCGCCGCAAGATCAAGCGCTGGCTCTCGTCCACCGACGTGCCGATTCAGAAAAGATCCGACAAGTTGCTGAAGACGCTGGACTTAGAGCTCCAGCGCAAGATGGAGGACATCAGTGACGACGTCCTGATGTCGAGCGTGGGCCCGGACATGATAGTGAAGCGGCTCGACACGATGAGCGGCAAGAGAGTTGATGATGAAGATCGCCGAGCAGCCCGAGAGTGTCTCTTCGGGTACCAGCGCAAGGCTGGAGAGACTTTGTCCATGTATGCCGCGCGCATGGAGCAGCAGTTCGATTTACTCCGTGCACAGGGACTTCCACTACCGGACAAGTGGATGCACCTCTTCATGGAAGAGGGGGTGAACCTAGATGACAGTGGCAAGCAGATGCTACGAGTGCTCACGCGCGGCTCGGGTAAGTACGAAGACCTCCAGAACGCCATCAGAGAGCTCGACCTGTCCAAGACCGAGTCTCTGTCCGGAGCCGCTCGTGCTGCACGCACGTACCTCGGCGAAGACATCGAGGAAGGCTCCGGCACGTACCACGGAGAGCAGGATGACGAATCAGAGCTGTCCGTGGACACCGACATGGAGAACGAGATATTGCTGTGCATCGACTCGGCAGTTATTGACGAAGACCAAGCACCTCTTGTTCTAGCAGAGCTCCAGCAGGAGCGAAAGAAGACGTGGAAAGAAAACAAAATGATGAAGCGCCAGGTGAAGGTGGACCGGAAGTTCTACCCGCCGCCCTCTCATCCTGGCGGAGGCTCTCGACCAGGACGCCGACATGGGGGAGGGGACCTGCGTCAAGGAGGCGGCCGAAGCGGGAGCAGCGGCGGGGCTCCTCGCCCGAGGAGGGAGCGCCTCAGCATCGAACAACTGATGAAGGTCACCAGGTGCAAGAAGTGCCGGAAGAAAGGGCACTGGTCCAGGGAATGCCCGGAGAACAAGCAGTCCTCGACCAACGGCTTCGTGTTCCTGAACGAGCCGTCCGCCGACGCTTCGGGGCTCGTCCTGGCCACCCTCAGCGACGTGGTCAAGCGCTGCGAGGAGGCCCTCCGCAGTCTCCCCAGCCAGGCGCCGACGGCCGCGGACATCTTCCTGACCACCGAGGGCGGCAAGATCATCGTGGACACTGCAGCGGCACAGGGCCTCATTGGCCCCCAGTCGCTGGCTCTTCTAGAGAAAAGGCTGAGTGAGTTAGGATACCAGGTAGTCCGCGTTAAGAGTAGTAACAGGTTTGCCCGGGGCGTTGGGGAACACATCCCTGTCGAATCTGGCATCCTTGTCCCTCTCGGCCTGGAGGGCCGCGGAGGTGTCATGCAGTGAATCAGGAGCTCCCGGCACTCATGCCAGTGGGCATGCAAGAGATGCTGGGAGCGGTCATCGATTTGCCCCGGGGCCGCGTCCAGTTCACTCAGCTGGGAGTCGAGACGCCACTAGAGAAGCTCCCGAGCGGCCACCGAGTAGTGAGTATCGATCGCCTAGGCCCTCCCGCAGAATTCGAGGCGCCCCCTGCTGTGGCGGCCAAGTACGACTTGAAGCCGGGAGCCTTTTGCCTTTCTCCCAAGAATAAGGTCCAACCCGATGCGACGAGTGATGGGGTTGTTTCGAGCGATTGCTGCGAGGGCCAGGCCAAGGAGTCGGGGGGGCGCAAGGGAGTCAGCAAGCAGAGGAACCGCAAGACAGTCATTTCGGAGATCGGATCGGCATCTTCACCTTCGAAGTCCCGTACCTACGTAGCGGGTGTGTCGACTGGGCGGTGCGACGGAACCAGGATCCTGGGATCAAATCAAGGAGGAGGAGACGGAGACAGGAGGTATATAGTTGGGAGCCATGTCCCGGACAAAGCTGTCTGGAACATGGGCAGCTCCCAGAGGTTCTCGTCCAGACGTCGGACGGAGCTCGAATATCTTACCAGTGTGGCGACACGCCCCACACGTCCGGCTCAGAGCCCAATATTATATTACGGAGCGCCACTCCATCGAGCAAGTCCCTTTCAGGAACCCTGTCAGGAAACCACCGCTCCTCCGTAGCGATCGGCTCAAACAAGCTCAGCAGACGCCGACCGCGACAACGGCGCTACCGACTCGAGTATCCGACCTCATCCACCCGATGAGCTCCCAAGCGGACGGCCCTCAGGTCTGGATCGCGACGAATCAGCCGATCCCCGACACCATCACGAAGAGGGAGTTTCGCTGGGCAGCCCTGGCCAGCCGCTCGCTGATACGCGAGGAGACGCTCGGGGCCAACCTTCTGATGATGAGCGCCTCGGGCCGCCTCTTCCCGCAGGACTGGCCCAGGAGAATGCGCACCATCGACTCGAGGCAATTGGAGTGCCGTCATCCCCTCGACCAGGAGATGCTGCTGGGCAACCGCCATGCGAAGTGGCACAAGTGCGGCAGCTGCGCGCTGAGGCTGAGCTACGAGTCCACGCCCATCCTGAAAGGGGAGTCCAAGACGTCGCAGCAATGTCCTCCGGTGACACGCCCGAGCGCTCGCAGAGTTCGCGGGACAGCGAAGGGCATTCTCGAGTCCAGCATGGCGTCGACGAAGCCGGAGGCCGGAGCACCTTTCACGCCGACGACGGTGAAAGGCTACCGCCCAGGCCCCCCGATGAAGGAGTACGAGCACATGGAGGTGGACGCTCTTCCACGGAGACGCGGCCGGGCGCCCATGGAGCAGGCCGAGGAGGACAACCAGAAGGCGCAGCAGGACATGCTGAAGACCCAGGAGAAGATCTTGGAGATGCTCGGGCAGGTCCAGGGGCAGGTGGCGACCCAGGGAGCCGCCCTGGCGACCCAGCAGGAGGCCATCCAGTGCCTCCAGGCTCACACCCAGAGCCACGCGCTGGTAATCGCGAGCGCCACGACGGGGGCTTCGCAGGCCGCCGCGGCTGCTGCCAGTTCGGGTGCGGCAGTGAACGGATGGCAGGACGTCTCGCACCTCTCACCAGCCGAGCAGATCCAGTACGTCAAGACCTCGGCTCCCGACGGTCCGGTGACGCTCAATCTACCTTTTCCCGGCGGGACGCGCCAGTGGGTGGAGAAGGGCGAGATCTACTTCGAGACGGATCCTGGGACGCTGTTCCTGATCGGTCCGAACTTAGAGGCGGCGCCGGCGAAGCGCCTGAGCGAGGAACGACTCAATGCCTCGACTGGGGCAGTCTGACCCGAGAGCTGAAGCTGGAGGGACGCCAGGCCGCAGACATCCAGCGAGCCGCCGTCAATGAGCTGAGCGCAGACCCCAGTCAATTGTTTTATGTGCCATATTGCTCCGACGAGCGAGGCCGAAGAGCGATGAAGGTAGCACAGAACACTACATGGATCACCCAAGGCCCCGACGGGGCCTACCAGACACATTCAGAGAGGTCGCTCGACGGAGAATGGCATATTGCAATTCATTGCCCGACGTGGCATGCCCTTCTCACCGAAGGAGCCGAGTTCAACGACGATTATGAATCGGCTTTTTCCAAGCATATGGCGAGGGATCTTGGGAAAATGATGGGGATCCTGGGGCGAGCGGAAGGATTGGGGATATCCGGTGAACAACAACCTCCAGACCCCGGAGCTTATCCAGGAGGCCGAGAGCTTCGAGGCTCAGGGCCCGACGCTTCACCAGAGCCGCCCCACGACGTTCTTTCCACCGACGATGTCAGACCCCCGTCATCTCTCTCTTCGACGCGCCAGCAGGAGGGGCCTTTGTCGTTTCCAGTCCGTCTGTCGAATCGGGGACTCAAGCGGAGAAGGAAGGAGCTTTTTGACCGGGGTTTCATGGAGGCATTCTCTCCACCTAGGTTGGCCCCGTCTCTGGAAAAGCAGGGGATCAGGCCCCAGGGAAGTCTGGACTTGCAGACTGGGTGGGATTTCACCCGGGCCTCTCACAGAGCCAAGACCCTGGCCCTGGTCCGAGAGAAGCGGCCCGAGATTCTGATGTTGTGCCCACCCTGCACCATCTTCAGTGCGATATACAGGCTATCTCAGAAGCAGATGGACCCTCTCGAGAGAGCGAGGAGGCAGCAAGAGGGGAGAGTGCTTCTGGCTTTTGCGGTCAACCTGGCTCTGGAGCAGTCCAAGGCAGGACGAGTCTTCGTTTTCGAACACCCCGCCGGGGCGTCGTCTTGGTCCGGGGGCCCCTTGACTCGCCTTGCCCAGGTCCCCGGGGTCAGCACTGTTGATTTCGACATGTGTTGCTTTAATCTGTCCGTGAGAGAGGACGGATCTCTGTGCAAGAAGCGGACCCGCATCATGTCCAACAGTCCCGGCGTCGTGCAGAGCCTAGTAAAGCATCAGTGTCAGGGAGGACATGAGCACACCCTCTTAGAGGGAGGTTTGTACACTCGGCGATCCCAGGTCTATTCCCCGGAGTTCGTGAAGCATCTGACGCATGTGTTTCGGAAGACCCTGGAGTCTAGGGGGGCCGAGGCGAGAGTCTCGGACATGGTTACCTGGACTCACCGTCGGTTGGGGTCCCACGTCACTGGCCGCGAGACCTTGGATCTCGAACCCTGGTCGTTTCCGGTTTCGTCCCTGGGAGCCGTTGAGGAGGAAGGAGACGTCGAGATGCAAGAGGCTGAGGACCCGGGAGGACCCGTTGATGATGCTGGGGAGGGGGAGGACGCCCGCGCCGGCGAGGTCGACACCGGCACGGCGGCCGAGCCTCCGCTCGAAGTGGATGCGAGGGTGAGGGATTTAGTTCAGAAGGCGCATGTCAATTTAGGACACCCCCGCGTTCCCCTGTTCCTCCGTATTCTCCGAGCGGCCCACGCCAAGAAAGAGATCTTGGACTATGTGAAATCGGAGTTCGTGTGCCCTGATTGCGCCGCACAGCCCCGACCCGCCTCAAGAAGGCAAGTAGCGATGCCACATACTTTCCAATTCAATCGAGTGGTTGGCGTGGACACCTTTTTCGTGTCGTTCGAGGGTCGCTCGATCGCCTTCCTCAATTGTGTCGACCACGGTACCAATTATCAAGTTGTTGCTCGGTACGAGGGGGGGGCGGCCGGGGCGTGGGCTTGCTTTGTCGCATGTTGGCTTCGATACTTCGGCCCACCCGAGCTCCTTGTCAGCGACGGCGGGCCCGAGTTCCAAGGGGAATTCTCCAGGGGCCTGGAACAACACGGGGTGTACCAGCACATCGCGAGCGCCGAGGCGCCGTGGGAGAACGGCCGCTGCGAGCGGCACGGGGGTTGGGTGAAGGACCTCATGGTCAAAGGGGCTGAGGAGTCCATGATAGCGTCCGAAAAGGATCTCGAGACTCTGGCGTACGAAGTGGTTTCCGGGAAAAATAATTACCTCCACCGGGAGGGGTTCTCCCCGAACCAACTCGTTTTTGGCCGCAATCCAAGAATGCCGCAGGACATTTTATCTGACGACGGAGTGAATCAGGTCGGACTCGACGACCTCGCCGAGAGCTCATGGGACCAAGACACGGCCGCCGCTGATTTCTCGAGATCGATGGCGATTCGCAGGTATGCCAGGTCCCGTCTCTTCGAGACTTCGAGCAGGAACCGCCTCCGCGAGGCGGCTGGCGCTCCTCGGCATCGGGATCAAAAATACGCTCCAGGAGACTGGGTGTACGCGTGGAGGAGAGCCCCCAGGACGGGAAAAACATACGGCCTCCAGCGCGACCGGTGGACAGGACCGGGCATGCCCAGAGGTCGTAGAGTGGTTAACTTTAAGACATAATGGTTAAGTGCTAAGGGAGTTAACCATTGACGTTAAGAGTTAACCATTGAAGTTAAGCGTTAAGCATTGAAGTTAAGCGTTAAACATTGAAGTTAAGAGTTAACCATTGAAGTTAAGCGTTAACCATTTGAATTAAGAACTAACCTTTCAAGTTGCACGTGTACCGCGTCCCCGCGAACGCGCTACTGTTGTGCCCGACAGACACGCAGACGAATGTACGCGGGGCGGAGGCGATGGCCACATATTGAGTAGCAGGCAATCTCGGTTCGTTGTTGCCGATGTTGACAGCGAATGTGCACGGCGTTCCTCCTCTTCCTCCCCCTCCTTTTCTCCTCCTCCTCCCCCTCCTCTCCCTCTTCCTCCTCCTCTTCCCTCTCCCCTCCTCCTCCTCACTCTCCTCCTCTCCCTCTTCCTCCTCCTCCTCCTCTTCCTCCACCTCTCCCTCTTCTCCTTCGGATCCTCCTCCCCTTCCGCCTGCCCCGCGTCGTCATCACCTTTCCTCGTTGTCGTTATACCGCCTCTTCCTCCACCCCCGCCAACTTCCCCTCCCTTCTCATATCCCGCCTCCGTCCTCGATCCGCGCCCACGTCGTCCGCCTCCGACTATTCATTCTTCTCTTCCTCCACCTCCTCCTCCCTACTCCTCTTCTTTCTCCTTTTCCTTCTCGTCCTCGCCCTCGCTCGAACTCCAGACGCTCCTCTTCATCATCCTCGTCTTCCCTTCCCCCTCTTTTCTCCTCCTCCTAGTTCTCCGCCCCATCGTATCCTTCGCTCTCGTCCTTCTCATCTTCCTTCTCCTTCCCCCATCCCCCTCCTCCTCCCCTTCCTCTCCGTGTCCTCCTCCTCCTCCTCCTCCTCCTCCTCCTCCTCCTCCTCCTCCTCCTCCTCCTCCGAGTCCTCGTTCTTTTCCCCCTGCGGCGGCTGCAGCGGCGGCGGCAGCTAATCCGCCTCGGAATTCGCCGCCTTTCTCGCGGAGCCTGCGAGGCCCTCGGGCCAACGGGCCCCATCGGGCCAAAACAGGTTTCAAAAACCGGTTGCTGTTTCTATAACGGGGCCTTCGGGACCACGACCGTCGCACGTAGGATTCGATTGCGGCGTCGTTCCAATCCAAGCCGTGAGAGTTTTCTTTCCTGCCCGAGGCTGCCCTTGCCAGGGCGACGGCTGCGAATTATGCCGAGAGGCATTCCAAATATATCGGCGGCGGTTGCTTGAAACAAGGGCTGGAGGAGGAGGAGGGGAGGAGAAGGAAGAACGGAGGAGGGGGAGGGGGGGCGAAGAAGAAGAGGACTGATAAGAGGGGGAGGAGGGGGAGAGCAGGAGGAGGAGGAGGAGGAGGAGGAGGAGGAAAAAGGAGAAGGAGGAGGAGGAGGAGGAGGAGGAGGAGGAGGGAGGAGGGGGGGGAGGAGGAGGAGGAGGAGGAGGAGGAGGAGGAGGAGGAGGATGATGGAGGAGGAGGAGGGGACGAGGGGAGGACGAGGGGGAGGAGTGGAGGAGGGAGGAGGAGGAGGAGGGAGGAGGAGAGGAGGGAGGAGGAGGAGGAAGGATGAGGAGTAGGAGGGGGAGGAGGAGGAGGAGGAGGAGGAGGAGGAGGAGGAGGAGGAGGAGGAGGAGGAGGATGAGGAGGAGGAGGAAACGCTCCATAGGGAGGCGGCGCAGACGAGGCCCAAGAGACCCGAGACACCGAGAGCCCAAGACGATCGGCCGCCGAGATCCCAAGAGTCCGCACCTCAGGTCCTCGGTCCGAGTCGCGAGCGCACGGAGGCGCCCGCGCGGCAACCCCAGGGCCCGACCCACTCACACAGCACGGAGCGGCAAGGGGAGGCGGAGCCAGCCTGAAATATACTTACGTCACTGTCACGCGACTGCGGGGAGGACGCGATGGGCGAAGAGGCGGGGGACGAGGGGGAGGAGGAGGAGGAGGAAGACGGGATGGGGAGGAGCATCAGTGCACATTCGGTGGACTGCCGTGCGCCCAGGTGTCACCGTCTGACTTCCGTGGGATCACTGAGACGATGCATCCCCGCTGCCGCTGCTCATGCCTTGGCCGCGCTGCTGCTATTGCTCCTCTTGTTGCTGATCGTGCTGTTGCTGATGCTGCTGCTGCTGCTGATCTTCGTCGCGTTGCTCACTCGGTTCGCGTTGATGCTGTTGCTGCCCGCTGGAGCTGCTGCTGCTGCTGGTCGCATCTGACTCGTTCAATGCACGCTCGAGGTTGCTTTTCTTGATCACGCGCCCGTCGGGATCCTGCTCCTGCGAGCGTGGCCATCCTCTTCGACCCTCCTCCTTCTCCTCCTCCTCCTCCTCCTCCTCCTCCTCCTCCTCCTCCAGCTGTCTTCTCGCGGGGACGGCGGCGCAGCGGCCTTAGTAATATGGAAGGAAACTGCTAACCAGTTTCACGATACGGAAAACGAGACAAAGCTGAAACAATACACGGATTTTAAACTCGGCGGCCGGCCGAAGCTGGGAACGTCCAGGAAGGCACTGG